GCGGCCATGGCTAAACTTTGACAACTATCAGAAGAAGCTGACGTTTCTTCGAACCATCCTGAAACAAAGCGAGCTACCATGAATGAAAGCGACATCCCTGCGACGCCTCCCTGCAGGATAGCAAGCGACACAGGCAACCCCGGTGTCATGGATGGCCACTTCACCTGTAAATTCTTGCTGCGCGATTTTCCTGACCCCCGTCTTAGTTGATGGCCTATGTGCCACATAGAGGTCTCGAAAATTGAACTATGATCCATGCCCTCTTGGTTTTCTTCGGGAAAGCAACGATATAACTACTCAGCGGCTTAAGTGGTCAAAAACAAACTGTGTCCAAGCTTGGATCTACAACCTCGACTGTCGAGCTTGAGACTAAGCTCGCCAAGCATGCGATGGGCATGGAAAGGCGGCATAATGTTTTGTGGTTGATTTTCAAGGGAGGCTTCAAGAAACACGGAGGTTCATGACCTCAAGCCAGAGGCTTCTGCAACATTGATCTGCAACAACTATGGATTGAATAACCGGCCTCACGCAACCCTTCATAGGTGACCTTGCTTTGCAGGTGAGGCCCGTTTAAAGCCCGAACTGCCGTTGATGACACCCAAATTCACACCTGGGATGGTAAAGGCACCCCTGCATGCCAATGGGTCTGGACCATGCCCAATAAGCCCCTAAGCATTCACAGGCTAGGTTTGTCAAACAAATGGCAGACCAAGGAGCACCACCTCAGGTTCTGGACTTCGGAGACTGAGCACTAACTTCCGACTGCTGGCCCCTTTGTTCAAGAAATCCTGAGTGGATTGGCCGAGAAAAAAAAGAGGAAAAAAACAAGGTCCAAAATTATGTTTGCCATCATCCAGAACACTTAGAATTGCTGGAAAGGGGGAAGAGGCAAATCCTTGGTGGTAAAGAAGGGGTCCGGAAACTCAAAGTATCCGTCGACCTTTGGGTCTTCGAAGGGCAAACGCCCCGCTCTTCGCTCACCTCGCCCAAAGCGGGCCAGCTCCACTGGTAACGTGGCGGGCAAAGCTGGGCAGTCTGCGACAGAGCCCTTTGCCATCGCCTTAGCCACCAATCTCTGCAAAGGCAACACCAAATATAACCGCCCTCCCAAAAACATGGGAATGCACAGGCAACTTTGGGAAGTTGATAACTCTTGTCTTGCAAAGGAGGCCTGTGCACTACGGTAGAAGTTGGCAGACGGCTAAATCATGGCAATTCTTCCAGCCAAATTATCATAACTCCCTTTTGACCTCTTGCCCAAAACAAATTCGACTTGTTGCTCTCACAGACTCTGTGTGTGCGCGCAACGATGCATGTATGCAAGCATGCAGTAACCTGGTCACTACCCCCCCATCAATTGTTATACGTCGGCTGTCGTGGTATTTGCTTGGTGTTGGAGAAGGTCGGTGCAAACCTACCCATTGTTCAAACATGGCCTTGAACCGTTTTGCCCGCGGCTCCTTCTGAATCCTGATTACATACCGCAACTCATGCATCAGTAGTCAGAATGTGCCTCAAAGAGACACTTCAGCGACTACAAAAAAAGCCGAAGCTATCAGCCCCCTTCAAGCCGATGGACCACCCAAAACCGGTGCATCCTGGAGTATCGTCTTTTGCTTGGGTGCGCCATTTTTTCGAGCGTCTCTTGGGGCGTTTTGGCTGGAAGCCCAAGGGAAGCCGCCCAATTGGGGGAAAGCCCTCACGCCACACGCGGGGAAGCCCAGGGGCGCCCGCTACATAGGAGGTCTGCCCTCTCTGCTTCTTCGGCACCAGGGGCAGCACCTAGAAATCCAGATCCACGCAACTTGGTGCGATAGGGAGAATGGAATGAACCCAGGAGTTGGTCCCAATAAAGGAAACCACCAGTTGGATGGTTTATAGGGGTCATTCCATTTCTCATTCCCTGCCTATCGCTCCAGCAAAGGTATGACTTGCATGCATCAATGTTTGAGCACGTCCAAACCAAACTACGAACTGTGGAATGTAAACCTGAGGGCTTGTCAAAAGTACAATGGATAGACAAATTCCTCCACCAGATCGGTAGGCGCTTTGCCTCAGTACTTCTATCTGATTTCACCAATCCCAGCTGCTGGATTCGTCCATCGTATGCCCTTGACCGTGGCCTTTTGCCGGGGTAAAGTTCGACAGCCCCGGGTCGGGTCACACGTGAGAAACAGCAGGCTCAAGTCACTCGCCAATGCAGCGGGCGCACCTCTTTGACGACTTTGCCAGCGAGGTCTTGGTGATCCTGGACGCACTGATCTGCCGGAAAAGAACCGAACCGAGCGAAGGGTATGTTTGGGGTTGCTTTCGGGGTTAAAAGGTGCGTCTGAGGTAGGTCTTGGTTGGGCTCAGGGCTGGCTTGGGGCAGGGTTTAGAGATGGTTCGCCTGTGGACATAAAAGCCAGCCAGCCAGGCAGCAAGCAAGCGAGCAAGCAGGCAAGCAAGCAAGCAAGCAAGCTTGAACCACTTGTAGCCCTTGGGAATTGGTGATTTTAGGGCTTGTGGCAGACCTCAACACAGTACTGACTCCATCCAATCCCTAACTCTGCTGCCACCTACGCTGAGCCAAACCATGTTCCTGTATCTAGCTCTGTCCTTCTCCCTCTCGGCCTGTGTCTGGTCTGTTGCTGAAAGTTGGACCAGCATTGATGATATGGATGAACACCAGACTTTGGGCGCCGCTTGGGCCGGCCTTGAGATAATTGACAAGGGGTCCCTGAAAACGGCCCAAGAAAACGCACACACTCTGTCTTCTTCAACAAAAACCAAGCATCTGCACCAAGGCGCTGAGCAAGCACCTAACTGAGATCTGGGATGCATAGCCAACCTAGACAATGATGAAGCAACAAGCACACCAACTGAAAAACAAAACCAATCTTAAAGCCAACAAACCGTAGCATGATAATGCATCAAGGGCAGTATGGGACCTTCATGGGAAAGCTTGCTGTATCTCCTGAGACCGAATTAATTCGGGCCAATGACGTAGTGAGGAACAGTGACCCGTTTCCCGATTGGCCAAACTGGCCACTGGGCACGGGTATTGCATGGCACGAAACCAGGACACGGAATATGGGCGGTCGACATGAAACCCTACATAAACGATGTTCACCAAACGAAAAGCACATAATGCTCATGCAACGAATTCAAGCGGTCGCAGCCCGAACTTCTGTATGGTTGGGCCTGGTCCCTTGCTTTCATCTGCCCGGATCTCGATTGTGGCTCAACTTGCCCAACTGCCTCGCCAACAGAGCTCCCTACATGTCCCCTTTAAACCTCACCCCACCAAAAGGACGCTCACTTTACTTAGGAAACTCATTTCGATTTGGCCCTGCGTTCGCAAAGTCTTGTCCTCTGGATGCCCTAGTCATGGTGACGGGACACCCAGTATCGCGAAAAGAAGGGTGGAATTTACATGCTGCATCATTTCGATCTCGCCCAAAAGGTGATTTTCAAAACATGAAAAGAGGATATACGGATGCCTGGCCAACCGCCCGTTCCGTCCATAAAGTGACGGTACTTGCTCCACTCCGTCTTGGTGACCCAGCTCCTGCCATGCGGAAAGGAGAAAAAACGCTCGGCCAACGGTATGTCTCATCGATCTGTGCGGCCCCGAGTTTGTTGACTCCTCATGAACAAATCTAGCAGTCCTGAAAATGAGGAACTACCTCCGGGAAGAAGTGGCGGGCTTGATGAATCAGGGGCCGATTGGGCCAGGGCATGAAACATGACTTGTGGTGAAGGCAAGCGGCCGGCTGCGCTGCAAGTGTGGCGGGGTGGGGGGTGGGGCGCAACACCATTACCTGCATGAACTCCAACGCTGAGCTCACTTCTACTAGTCATGCCAAATAAACAGCTTGAGCATGTCGGTCATCATTTGGGGGCCGCCTAGGCGAGGCCGTAGGGGATCCTCCAAAACATGTCCTGAATCCCAGTCTCGCAGAAAAAACGCTTCAGGAACAGTAAATATTCCAAAACCTGCTAGGCTGTTGGGAAATGTCCTTCAAATGATTTCCTTTTAATTGGCCTTGCTAAAAGTTGATGTCTAAAACTCCTTCAAGGTAAAATATGGACAAATCAAATGCCCTATAGATTTCACTGCGCACGTTCAGCTTCTAAGACGAACCAAAAATTCCAGATGCTGTGGTTCAATGGGACCCACCCTGCCTTTTCTGGTATGAACTCGCCTGAAAAAGGGAGGATCCATAGGTTGAGGAACGAGTAATTCAAAGCATCCGCACGCGTGCGAGAATCCGGCTGCTACATTGTGTATGGTACATATAATGAATAAGGAAATTCCAGTTTCGGCTGGGTAAGCTGCAACATTGTGGAAACGAATTAGTGTGGACTTGCAAGTAGAACAGCAAGAGCCACAAAGCGAGGCAAGCTCGTCATAGCTCGTCCACATCAACGGTGGCCTCCAATCAACAGCATGTTTGTTTGGATTCTTGTCCATATTGAGTAAACCCTCAACTGCAAAATCATGTCAAACGAGATCCTATGGACATCGTCTCGTGTCCCTTGCCATGGAAGATTTGACCACATGTGAGCGGTTTTTTCCCGCTCGTGCAGATTACCGCGTGTGTATGTGAAAAGCGATCGGTTCAAGAAAAAAGCGCTCGGACACGGATATGGAAAAAGAAGAAACTGTCCATCGTGTGGGCTCGGTCTTTCTGCTACACTCATGTGCAAGATTTGCAGCGGGCGCAGAACGTGGCAAAAAAGACACTTTTTTGATGTGCGCTCGTGTGGCGGGAAATTGCGCTTTGGTAGCGAGAATGTGCGCTCGTTTTGAGGCCTTGCCTGTTTCATCCAGGAAAGCTGCTGCTCTGTTCAAAGCATTGACCGCATTGCGCAAAGTGTTCTCCAAAGGAGCCTCAATTCCTTTGCGAAGCAGCCTTCCAGTTGGGTGACTTAACGCTCGCGGACTAAATAGCGCTCGTTTGCCCAAAAAAAAACTCGCAAGCGAAAACGGCGTATCAACGGCTTGAGCAGAAAACAACGCTCGTTGGAAGATACAGGTGAACAAAAGGGGTGGGGACGAGTCAAGCGTGGCCGTTTGACCAGCTGCTCCAGTCCTGAGTCCGTGCCCCACCCTCTAGCGAGCAAACTTGTCACTTCAGCTTTTCGCCCTTCGATTTGCTGGCTTGGAGTGGTGGTTTCCCATTTACCCTCTAGACCTAGGGCTTGAAATCCCCAACCAAGTGAGAGGTACCTTTTTTTTTTTGCCCAGACGCACTGTTCGACTTTTAGATATTCTAAGCTTATGGAGTTGGATTTACCCATTTCCCCGTGCTCAAAAAGCCCAGGCTAGAAGTTGGATCCAAAAAGAAATAGCTTCAAAAGACAAGAATCCAAACAATAAGAACAAAACCTATGGCGATTTGGGATAAGACAAAACTATGCCATACCTCGACATTGATTGGGATGTTGAATCAAAAGCAATCACTGCAAACAGTTGACGCTCAACCGACCATGGCTGTGGATGTAAATGATGGAGGAATGGCAGTTTTACCCGCCCAACCCAACCCCCGCCCCGCCAAGTGGAAAAGACTGCAAGGACTTGAATCATAGCTCTGGCATTGTGGCTAGCTTTCCCTGGGCTGGTTTCGATGCCCCAGGCAAGTCGGATGGAAACATCACCCTGATGTAAAGGGCAACGAAAACGATGTAGCAAGGAACAGGCCCTCGTGTCTTAGTCACAGCATGCTCTGCTCGAACATTCATAGAACCCCTTTCAAACGGGCAGTTTTCTTGTGTTTTTTGTTTAATAGATTGCCCCGAGTGGAAAAGGCTTCTTTTGACTAAACCACTTGCCACGCACAATGGTGGACGACTCCGATTGTTTGTCGTATTGTTCTCCATGCCTGCATCTTTTCTTTGACCCCTTCGGGGGAAGCGAGCAAGCAATTCCCTTCAGCAGCGTTCCTCATGTTAACTTCGGAAGACTTCGGACTCATCCGGAGCACCTGACTAATCAGGGGAGCCAGCTTCTTTTCAGTGCCCTCGATTCATTTTTTGGGTGCTATGATCCACTTTGAAAATAAGGGCACTTAGCCCTAAATCAAAGAGGTCACTTAAGCCATTTAAAGGGCACTTAGACCCTCAGGGTTGCCTCCCCAGCAGATCCCTCCTCAGTCCGGGCAAATCGAGCCGCAGCGACACGTGAATGCGAATGACACTCACACGGGAACGGGACCGACGCTGGGCAAATCGAGCCGCAGCGACACGCGAATGACACTCACGCAGGGGGGACCGACACTAGCGTAAGTGACCTTTTCAAGGGGTAAGTGACCTCGATTCGCACCCCCAATGACACTCAAATGACACGCTTTGACACTCAAAACACCATGTTCGGGCTTTCCGGGTCGGCCCCATCAAATGTGGCAGTTGTCACAGGTAGCCCTTCGATTTCAACAGAATCCCAACCCCTATCAAGCCAACAAGGGCACTTAGCAAACTAATCAAAGGGGCACTTAGGCCACCGACACTGCCTTAAGTGCCCTCGATTCAAAAACAGGCCAAGTGCCCTCCATTAGAGGGCACTAAAAATATGCTGGAGGCTCCCGTTTAGTAAGGGCATTATCTTCTGGGGATCCTCTTACTCAGAAGTTGACATTGTGCTACTCGCTCTCTCTATTTTACCCCGTGGGTCGAAGGCAACCCTGCATCGCTCTGATGTGTCCTGCCACGACCGCCCAAAAGGCAGAGTTCATGAGAAAAATTGCCGAATTGGCACCCCTTTGGATCCAGTTTGACGAATTGTTAAGAAAACAACACGCCTCTACATCCATGCTGAGAGAACACAGAGCTGAAACCAACCAAAAGGAGTGAATTTCTGGCTTGATGCACAGCAAATTCAAAGCATTCATTCACTCTGGCCAAGCTACAAGCCCCCAAACTGGAAATGACAGAATCACCTCAAAACAAGCTCCATCGGTGAGCTCGTTTTTCCATTGCGCGAGGCACGGTCAAAACTATTTGTTTCCCCTCCAGGCTTTCGTGGTTGATGCTTAGCGAGTTCCTCCATGTCTCTCCCAAATGGGTGATAGACACATCAGGAAATTTGACCGAACCTCAGGTTGTGCGCGACAGGCTCCAACAAATTGGTTCTACACACATCTCTGCCCTTTAAGCCGAAACCTCTTTGCAGCTTCCTTGTTGTTGTTTTTTGGGCCGCGTTTTGGGGGTCCCTTGCTCACTACATAGGGGTTGTCACCCCACCGTTGCCTGAACCCGTGTCAGGTTGGCACTTGCACCTATCAGTCTTTGGGGTCCCAAGGCAAGCTTGTTGTCAACCGCATCGATCGGCAAAACGCGTCGTGGTTTGTGTCAGCCGAGCGCCCGAGCCAGGCGCTTCAGCATACCCAGGCAGCAGAGCTTGGCTTCAGAGGTGACCTCCTGCAAGGCTAAAGACGCTTTCCGGCTTCAGCAAAACCCCAGGGCGGAACCATGTCTGTTCTCCTTTTTGGGAGCGCAGCACTGTCTTGAGCTTTGCTCTTGCTGCATTTGAGGGATGCTCGGTGGCCTGGCTTCAACCCGAATCTTCGCATTCAACGCATGCTTCGTCGGAACGCCTTGAATTGATTTACCTGCTAGGTGTAGCCTGATTGGCCAAGCGGCAACGACATCCGAAGAAGCACACATTTGTTCTGCCCTCGTGGCTGAATCATGTCTTCTCAGAGCATCCCTGTTCCCGCGTGGCGACCCCAAGCGGAACTTGCTGAAACCGAGCTCGGTTTGACACGGTCTGAAATGGAACGCGTACTTTCCTGGCTCCTAGAAACCAGCAAATTGCAGGAACATATGTGGAAGTTTGGCAAACCAACCAAGAACAGGGGGCGGGGCTAATTCTCTCCAGAATGCCCTGTTGCTGATTGTTTGATTTATTCATATCGAGCGAGGTGACTAGTTCGCTCATAAGATCCCGGTCTGGAATAAGGGATCTCCAAAAGAACATGCTTCGTTCCCATGAGGCTGTTTACCGCCCGAGACCGTGAAGCTGCAATGACTCAGCCAACTGCATGGACATGTTTGGGGCAGTCTATGTCATAATTGGAAACCATGGGGCCGTCTATGGCAGAATTGGAAACCATGGGCAGTCTATGTCATAATTGGAAGCAAAAGGAAACTGAAGGAAACCAAAAGGAACAAAAATACACTTTCTAGCCTTGGAGATTTGAAGAACTCTGCCGGGGAAAAAAAATCCTTGGTGTGATCTCCTCAAATCCACATGTCATCTCTTGGCAAAGAAGCAAAGTATAAGCACTCCTATACAAAGTGTGCAGGATAAGACATGTCTCTGAATGAAACATTCACACTTGCATGCTTCCGACTTGAAGATGCGACTGAGGTTGGCGAAAACAACTTGCACATCGAGGGATGAACCAAATCCGATTGGAAGAAACACGCCCAAAGCACACTCTTGGCGCCGGACTGCGCACGCCTCACCAAGGGAGACGTTGCCATTCATGTCGACCTGGATTGATAGATTGTGTGCGCGAGTGGCGTTGGGATTGTAAACTCGTACGGTCCGTCAGTGTGTTAAGATTTTTTATGAAGCAAGAAATTAGACCCTCAAATGGTCCAGACATAGTTCATTTAAGACTCTCAAATGCTGGGCCTCAGAATTCAGTGCTCGCGCATCTGGGGCAACAGCGTCGGTGTGGTAAGTTATCAAATATGCGTTCGAGGAAATGTTGTGGTTCACCAACCTTGATTTACCTCGTGCTGCACCTTGAGATGCAATACATGTGGCCGTCTAGACAAACTCTCTTTTGCAGGATGGGATCGAGTCCTGCCAAGGCTAGATGTATTACATCTAGGTGCTGCACGAGCTAAATCAAGGTTGGTGACCTACACATGTCCTCGAACGCTTTCTTGACAACTTACAACACAACTGGCTCAGAGTTTGGAAATTGGACGCCGTGCGAACACCCAATTCTCAAGCCCCTGAGCAAAGGAAACCAAGGTGGTCAAAACCAGCCCGACCTCTTAAAGACATCCAACTGGTGTTGGCATATTTGACCGCATCTCCCATCGTCAACAACCTTGGGATGCCGTAAAATGACATTTCCATGATGGTGTGTTGAATTCCTTGTTCAGGGTTCGATGACCCGCACACACAGAACCTCCGGGCCAAATTGCTTGTTTACTCAAGAGGGCATGGGACTTTTGGGTGGGTCTAGTTGTGGTGGGAAAGCTGGGGCCTCCTCGTCAAAACTCACAATAGACTACCCTCCCACCAAACATGGAAGTGCAAAAATGCCAGCCAACCAAGAGGAAAGTCGCCTTACAGGAATTTCTGCGCACAAACCCATGGAATCGCTGGGAGGGTACCAGTTGGTGTCTCGCACTCTGTCTCCAGGTCTCTGGGCCACCCTGCGACCAGCGCCAAGCTCTGAGCAAGGCTCCCTGGCGGCGGCTTAGGCCGAGGGGACACTCGCGAGGAGCGTGGGTGGAAAAGCGAAATCCATGTCGCACCACTTTGAAATCCATGGTTGAAACCATCCTTTGTCAATTCTTTGTTGGTATTTACAGGGGAATCATCATTCCAGGGTTTCTTGGGAGGTGCGAAATGGATTTCGTCCATCCACAGTATGACCTAAAAACCCGAGGAGGGTCCAAGGCTGTGCGCAAACTGGAGCAGAGGGAAGATTGGGATCCATGAGAACTGGGGCTCCTGAGGAGGCCTTCTCAAAATGTGCCCGAAGACCTGCAAATAAGGCGAATAGGAGGATCCAGATCAAACATGGACCAGCACCAGGCAATTAGAAATCAAAGGAACACAAACAGCTGGATTTGGACTGACAGCAAAAGAAGCCACAGCAGCTCAATACGGTGACTCTTGGTAACCATTAACTATTGCAAAGGACTACCACAGGCTGTTCTCATGAGATGCTCTGAGGTTGCACAGGCCCTTTCTGGAAGACTAGTTGGGAAGTTTTGCTGGGAGCAATCGCCTCGACCCACCCCCTTCCCATCACTCCCTTCCCCTCGCTCGCCTTTGGACTCCTTGCAAGGGCCCCGGCCTAGGGAAGATCCCATGGAAGAGGTGACCACATAGATCACCATGGCCACGTCCACCGGCAGCAAGTCCAGTGACGCCCAAATGGTGCCGCCTCAGAATCCGGCGCCTTCGGCTTCGGCGCCGAATCTTCGCTAGCTGAAGTTGATCGCTTCGGGGGAGGCCCCTAAGAGGCAAATTGGCGTCCAGCTAGCTACCTTCCCACTTATGTCAGACCTTAAGAGGAACAGGGAGAGTGCTTATCACGATGCCGCTCAATAGAAATGAGAGCTTAGCAGCTTGCCAAATGCCAATGTCAGCGGGAAGCATTGCGAATTCAATCATGACAAGGCTGGCTTGTTGGCTTCTAGTTTGATGTGGGCAGAGTGGAATTGCAACTGGGCTTTCTTATTGAGAATCCAATGAGTATTGAACCAAGACGTCGCATGGTGCTGCTGTCATGCCCATGCAAATTGCCCTCGTGGACGAGTCGTAAACACACCCTTATACTTTGGACTGGCAGCGATGGACGTGGACCACCGTCTTGTACATGGACGTCCGTGTTGCGGTACCAACCCGAAGCCAGCTTGGACGAGAGGGATGGAATTGGACCCCTCAACAGGCAATTCGGGCCATAAGAAGGTTCCTTTGGACCATGGTCCACTTTCCGCATAGAATAAATATAGATCAGTGGCTATCACACCCTTTTCGTTTGGTGGGCTCATCTTTCAAAACTCCCGAAAGGCCTCTTGCTTTGCGACTGGTTTTGTCGCAGTGGACTTTGAACCTGACACTGGGCTTTGTGAACCTGCTGGCGGGTTCCGCGTTGGAAGGGAGGGCATCCCAGAACTTCTGCAACCAGTCAGATGGTTCAGATAGAATTGGCGACGCCAATTTGAGGTTTACCTATGACCTCAAATTACCCTGTTGAGAGACCTGAAGCGCTGAACCATGACCCCAGCTGCCCAGCGACTGCGGGACACATGGTTAACCCTTATTGGAGGTCACCATGCGTCGTAGGGAACCAACCAAGGGAAACACACCGAACAACTGAGTGGTGCATGGAGAGGGTCGGGAGACTGCCTGCATCCCACTCTGAGCTTCCCACTGCAAGTGTCCCTGCTATTCCTTGGATGGTGCGGAAGTGCGGAAGTGGCCGGTCTGTCTGTCCGTCTGTCCGTCTGTCCGTCTGTCTGCCTGTCTCTCTCTGTCTCTCGCTCTTTTAGCGAGGTTGGGTATGTCTCACAGCCAAAAGCAAAGCTTCCCTTGTTGTCAAAACACGATAGAAGCCACAAACGGTTGGGCTTTCCGCGGTGGTTCCCTTTTGTTTCTCTTGATCAAGCCCAAACGTTTGCATGGTTAACTGATGTTCCCGCGCAAAGCGCCTCCCAGGTGTGACCCAGCAAGGTTGCTTTGCTACAAAGGACTTTGCAGTCTTCCGAACTCCCTCAAGCAGCTTACAAGTAAAGCACCCGCATCCAGGGCTGTGGGAAGACTGGATATGCTGGCTGGATACCTTACCCTGCTTGAAGTGCAGAATTGGGCATCGGGAAGACCGCTTTTCCAGTGGTATCACAGAACTGGGTGTTCCATAGCCCTGATTAACAGTAATTACATGTAACCGCACGTGTAAATTCTACCATTGACAGGATGCATGTTGGTCTTTGCCAAAAAAACACTTGAGCTTGTTGATTCATTTCGCGAAGCTGATCAACAGCTTGCATGTTACCTTTCAGGACTCGGTTCTTAGTTCTTACCAATATGGCTGTGGGTCAAAAGCTCGTACCCCCAGTGAACATCCCAGTCTAAGTTGACCCACAGCCATATGCCAATATTTGAATTCAATATGAGCACTCCGCTCAGCCGTTCCCCGAATACAGCAAATAGCAGGGTTTTCGGGTTTCCAGCCACAACACCTTTTGGGCCAAGTACGAATGCCCTCAATTTTGACATCTTCTTCAAAGCTCCATTTTGGCTTCCCCGGTGCTGATGGCCTTGGTCTCATGTGCTGCCGAAGTCTCTGGGCAGGTGCGCGGGCAGTCAATCGCACTGCTGACCTCTCGCGCAGGCTTCGGCTTCACGCGCTGCTGCCATGGGAAGATGTCGGTAGATGTGTTCTGATCGAGTCCCTGGGTTTCTTTGTTGGTTTCCGGATCGAGTCACTGGGGTGTTTGGTTGGTTTCCGGAAAGAATCCCTGGAAAGGGGGAAGCTGCCGTTTCATCATTACATGGCAGCGTGGGTGTTGGGTGCTTCGCATTTTGGAAGGCCAAACGAAGGACGTTTTGAAATGGCGTGTATTATCAGAATTGCATGATGGCTTTCGCAACAGGGGCCCGTCAGAGGGGCGCTCCAAAGATGAGGGCACCCCCAGAATGATCGATTACCTTTGCGCTCTGGCAGATAGCCGATTGCTAGTTGACAAGTCATGCGGTGAAGTTGCGCAGTGGCTGCGCTGATGCGCTGAGGCTGGGGTTAGCAGTTTGGGATCTCCCT